ATGCCCCCCCCCCCCACTCATGTTTGCTATCCTTATTGCCCTCACTGCTTTTATTTTTATTCTTCTCTTTTCATCTCACTCATTCTCTCACTCTCATGCATGCCTCTCTTCTAGAGAATGGTTGCACATCTTTGCCAGGTGAGTCTTTCATGAACTCATCTGCATGGTTCTCACATAACATGTAGACAGAAGTGCCCTAATTCACAGCTCCTATTGGCTAATACTGATATCACTTAAGCTCTGACTTGCCAGAACTATTCAGTTTTCTAATTAGCAGTAGCTCTGTCATTTCTGGAAAGTGCTAATGATCTTTGTCATGTTACCTTTTATTATTTAAAAGAAAATAACTTTGTTCTGTAGTCACAATATGAAATAACATGCAATGATGGCCTAAGGTATACAGTTTTGGTCTTAGTTGTGGGATGTACTGTAATCTTAGCCTCACCGTATCTTAATCATTTTCAATTTGGTTCCTTGTCTGTTTTACTTGCTGCAACTCTAATTGCTAAGTGCCTAAATGGCCTTTTGAATTTTGGAATTCTTTTAATTAATCTGATGACATATTCTTGCAACCTTTTTAGAAGTAACTTAATGCTATATTTTTATGGCTAAATAAAACTTTGGGTTATTTCCATAACCACAGTTCTCTGAGTAGCATGTTTGAGAATGCCTTTGGCGTGACCTCGTCAGCCAGCATTAGTTAGAACTAAGCTTGTCAGTGTCATTAAAAAGGAGGTGATACCATGTTGAATTCAAAACGTGCACTTCTTCCTCACTACACATGAGCAAGAAGGGTGGTCTAGCGAGACACTTCCTCGTGCTACTGAGAGAACCCGACCCAAAATAACCCAAAATTCTCTTTGATGTGTTTTGTGCCTCACATTGGGAAATGCTGACTCCCAGATTACTTTGCAGATGTTATCCAAGCACCAGCTGTTCCTGAAGGAGCCTCAAAAAATGTAATCCTAAGTACTGAATAAGCTAAGGGGTGAGCTATAACTTGTCTGTAAAACCTGGCAGAGGAATGTGGTGAGGCTCTACTTACAGCACAAATCTCATTGAACGGAGACCCTTCTAAAAAAGGCCCCCAAGCTGCTGAGACCCTGGGTGGAGTGTACTTGTTCAGTAGTCATGGTTCAAGGCATGTATGTATTGTTCAGTTAATTTGAAGTAGGTTGAGGCATTGACAGAAAAATCTCAAGGTCTTGAGGAAAAAGGCCTTGTGCCAGTAACCCAGTGAAGCTTAGCTGGTAGTGGCAGTCCTGACTGGCAGGAGTTTCTGATAAGGTCATGTCAAAGGCATTCCCAATGAGAGACACACACATACACAAAGTGACCAAAAAAGTTTTTAGTCCTTTATATAAGGTATTCAATGATTCACGGTTCCTACTGTAATTATAATGTTCCTTTTCTCTAGAGGTTTTGAGAAAGATGTTTGCTTTTGTTTTCATGAGCTGAATGTACATTTCTGTTGAGGAGTGATAGGGGAGGAGATTGTAGAACAGATATGACATTAATAGGTTGTTAGTCATTGGAAGTCGTAATGCAGAAATGGCACAGGTGGTTCTGTATACACAACTGCTTGCATGTAATATGTCTGTGTGTATACAAATGCTATGAGCACGAATTTGGTACATATTGTTGAAACATGACACCAGAGACATAATGAAGTGTTTGAAAGAAGAAAGTCTGGTTGGAGTAGTCCTCAGTTGAGCTGCTTTGCATATCACCATGGATATGTAGTTTTAATCACCCACTGACCGTTATGGGGAACTTAATCTTTTTGCTAAATCAAAATAGTGGGAAGGAAGGCAAAGGATAGTAAAAAAAATTAAACAGTGAGGCTTTGTGGTGCTTCTTGAGTGGTGTGGACTTTATACTATGTCCGTTAGATTCGTCAACCGTGACATTGCAAGCACACTCCCGTACATGCACAGCTGCTCACATCTTGTAATTTTAAGCCTTCTAACCACCACAAGCTTGAAGACACACCTTTAGTTCTTTGAATGTGACACCCACTCAAGAACAAAAGGTATTTGACTTGAAACGGTGAAATGATGCATTGAAACTCCACCTGCCACCTGGCTGCATTATCAGACATGGTAAATCATTAAACATTGTTTTTCTTCATTATAACTGCACTTTACAGTACTCTGATGTGATGAACAAACTATTGGTAAGATAAAGAACTTTGGCAGTTTATCAAGACTGTTACAAGCAAAAGATCAGGTGTTAAGGTGTAGTTCAAATCAGACACCGCATCTGACGTGATTGTTTTTTTTTTTTTTGTGAGTTTAAAACACAAACTATTTAAAGACATATAGACAAGAGACTTTGTGATGAAACTATTACAGAAGCCCAGACCTTGGAATTTAATAAGCACGTTTCATCTCCTTTATTAAAACAGGGTCTTTCATCAGAGGAAAAGTCAGACACTCAACAAATCACTAGGATTTATTCTCTGTGGGTCATGAATGCCTAAACAAAATTTCATGGAAGTCACTCATTACTAGTTAAGATATTTCAGTCTGGACCAAAGTAGCGGACAGATTGACAGGCAGATGTTGCCATTTCTTGAGCGTTGCTACTACCATAAATAATAAAGATCGAAAACAATAGACACCGTGGGGAAGCAAAGTCTGTGAATGCCATTGAATCCAGGGAGTTGTTTATAGTGGTCCTTGAACCGGAATGCGCAGTAGCTCTGCTCTTTGAAGTTGATCATCAGGGCCTCAGGCCCTTGGGTCCAGGCATTGTGCTGTTCACTTTACTTACCTACAGTCTTTACCCAGCCCTGGTCAGATGTTTAACCTCCTGAAGGAGACTTCACATCAGAAACACAGGAACCACAGAAAATGAACAGGGTTAGCATGGGCTGTGGCATTTCAGATGTGTTCTCTTTATGAATTCCTTTATTAGCCTTATCAGGTCAGTGCTGTTGAGTCTCCAAGCAAATCTCTTGTAAAGATATATGGTATTTTCAAAGGCCAGGACAGAAGAATATTAAATGAGACAGTTAAATTGGCCAAATTAAGTAAATTTGCATGTTTGATGCTTGTGCTTATTTCACCCATATTGACTCACCATGTTAACCACTTAAAATGGCCCTTTGATGCCATATTGTGTTTTTAAAAAGCATGGCAGTAAATTCAGTGTTTGTCCAGCACTGAATGTGTGACTCATCATAGCCTATCTTTACTCATGTCCCTCTGTCAGGTCCATTTGTCCATCCAGCATTGGGGTTTTGCACATTCTTCCAACATTTGCCAGAAAAATATATCGTCCTAGAAAACAACCAAGTTTGTTTGAAAAATATATTTTTAACTCTGTAGGCACTCTCTAATTTGAGTGTGTGGGTTGGTAGTGTAGGGCTTACCACAGTTTGGCTGTGGAGGCCATGTATTAAGGGCAGCCGAGTTCTCCTCCTTCTGACTACAAAGTCTATGTCCTCTGTCTGAACTCGTGTAGAGCTGTTTTAGGTGGGGAACTGATGCACTATATAAGTTTGTATGGTATGTGGCTGTAATTGTATGTGCAGGACTCTAAAACCAAATGTGTCCAACAAGTAACTGAGGGTAAGCATATTTTTACCACTGTTGGCAGACAAACGTTGGTTTCATAGGTGATCTCATACATTTCTTTTTCACAGTAACTTTTGCTTGTTCTCTTTTTTTAATAAACATCTCCCTCTCTGTTGTCCACCTACTCCATAGACTTCTAGACCTGCTTGATTGCTACAGACATTTTATTGTATGTTGTAACTGTAACCTCACTTGCTTTTTTGCAAAGTAATCTAATCTGATGCCACCTATTTCTGTATCTCTCTTCCCCTGTATTTCAGGAATTGATCCCACTCATCTTATGTACTGCCTGCCTTCACCCAGAGCCTAAAGAAAGAGACCAGCTCCTCCACATCCTTTTTAACCTAATTAAGAGACCAGACGATGAGCAGAGGTGTGTGTGTGTGTGTGTGTGTGTGCGTAAACAGAATAATATGCCTAACATTTATTTTGCTGATTGACCTCTTACTGAGATGTTATTGTTTAGCCACAAGATAGAGAAACAATGAGTTTTTTCATTGTGTTCTCATATATGTGTGTGTGTGTGTGTGTGATGAGTTTATTCAGTGTGTTCTCATATATGTATGTGTGTGTTTGTTTCCAAAGACAAATGATCTTGACGGGGTGTGTTGCATTCGCAAGGCACGTGGGTCCCACCCGTGTTGAGGCCGAACTACTTCCTCAGTGCTGGGAACAGGTATGGTACATACATTGCAGGTGGCACTGGATTTTATACCTTCTCCAAAATTAATCAGCTACTTGTCCAAACTCTGAGCTGCTGTAGGTTTTCTAAACCACATATCACATCCTCAAAAAACAAAGTTAATGATTCATTTTCTGATTTGTTTTTTATTTGTAGTTGTATTTTGTGGTGTTATTTCTTTATGAGGTCTCTGTCTCTCTTTCTATTTGTTCATATACATCAATAAAGGAAAGAAAAGTCCTGCTCAAAGCTCCAATGTAAAATATGTCACATTTTGTTATTTTTGAAATTTGCCAACATTATTTTCAGTTTGTCCCTGACTTAAATATGACAGTGGTTTTGTTTTCATTGCCACCTGTGTCACCTCCTGCAATATATTTCTGATAAACAAAATCTGCTGACAGCAGTTTAGAGGCTGAGAATCTGCTTAGAAAGACAAATAGTGGTTTCAACAGTGTCAGTATGTTGATGATATGAGGGTTGTTTCCATTCCACAGTGGCTACACCCTGTTTGCTCCACTCTTCCTTTCAACTTCTGTTCCTCTACTTTTGTCCTTTATATTTTGTTCTCTGCTGCTACAGATTAACCACAAATATCCTGAGAGAAGACTGTTGGTGGCTGAGTCCTGTGGAGCTTTAGCGCCGTACCTGCCTGTAAGAACACATTATTTGTACAGAATTAAAAGGAGCTATACATGAATGTAGTGATGATGAATAAAATATAACAAATTTCTCTTTGTCTGTCTTTAAATGTGTCTGCATAGAAGGAGATCCGTAGCTCCCTGGTGTTATCCATGTTGCAGCAGATGCTCACTGAGGATAAGGCTGATATGGTCAGAGAAGCTGTGGTCAAGAGTCTGGGCATTATCATGGGTTACATAGATGACCCTGACAAGTACTCACAGGTATGTGTGTTTGGAGGGAAACGTATGTCAGGACTTTTATTTTAAAGCTTAGATCAGTTTTGCTCCAAGATTTTCCAGTGAGAGCTCAACAGGATTTTTTTCTCTTCCTGCTAACACAATGTTGCGGCAAGCATGTGAAAAACTGTTAAATGGCTTTACAGCTTAAAATGGTGGGTGAGCCTTCATACCTGTCTTTTGTTTATGCATATGTGTTCCTTCCAGGGTTTTGAGCTGATGCTGCTGTCCCTTGCAGACCCATCAGAGAGGGTGGTCAATGCTGTCCACCAAGTCTTCATTCCTGCCTTTGCTGCCTGGACCACAGAGCTGGGCACCTTGCACACTGCACTCATCCCTTCTCTGCTGGCACGGATAGAGAAACTGCTTATGGTAAGTGTCTTCAGTTCATTTTAAAGGATCAGGCTGACATCAGGCTTTATTCCACCCAAACGCAAACAAATGATTCACACATAAAAACAGTATAATAATGCATATTTGGTAATGTGAGAAACATGCTGACATACACAATGGTTAATAGCAGTGGTATCTTTCTAGCTGGTCATCAACAGTATCAAACACAGTGGAGGCTCATGTATGTACGTACATGCATGCAGTGACTTGCTCTATATTACTTTTGATCTCACCATTCTCTCTTCACTGTTCCTGTCTTCTGTAGCAAGGAGAACACAGTCTGGATGAACACAAGTTACATGTGTTTCTATCGGCCCTGCAGTCCCTCATCCCTCCATTGTTTGCCGTGGTGCTGCAGAATGCACCGTTCACCAACAGAGTCAAACTCCACAGTGACGTGCCTGCAATAGAGGGTAGAGCAGCTGAATGTACACACACAAATTCACAAGTGGAAGAGATTTACTTCAGAGGGTTAATGTGAAGCTAAAATATTTATCTCCAGATGCTACCATTAACGTATTTTCTATTGGAGTATTGTTTTGTATGTTTTAATTATTAAAGCAGTACCTTTCCATTCTTGTCCTGCAGTGACCAGGTTCCCCAGGCCAGCTTCTCCTCTCCAGGATGTGGCTACCCTCATAGGCAGCAGGGAGATGCTGAGTGCCCTCCTGCTACTCTACGACCACCAGCTAGAGCATGAAGGAACCACTGGCTGGGACAGCCTGCTATGGGTGGTCAATCAACTGTGAGACATATGCTCATACACTGTCACATTACATATAATACATAGTTAAAATGTATAGAACAATAAATATATAGATTTGCCACATAGGTTAAGATTGGTATCATCACAGGGTCATACGCAAATATGCATACATACTGCTTTCCATCTGTCTGGTCTGTCTCCAGCCTTCCTCAGCTCATAGAGATTGTGGGTCGCATCAATGTGACGTCATCGACTTGCTTACATGAGTTCTCTCGCTTCTTCTGGAGGTTCTGTCGCACCTTCGGCAAGATCTTCACTAACACAAAGGTAAAACTACTTGACTTATGAAAATTAAATATTCTGCTGAGGATTCCACAACCGCATAGTGTTAACCTGTGGATTTAAACAAACGGCAACCTCTGAGACTGAGAAATGAAGCCAACGCGAAAGTGCCAAAACCTGCAGTTCCATGAATGGCTGCTTGAGGCTGGCTCCAAAAGGGAGTTGGTCCCCATAGCCTCCAGTAATAAATTGCCCAACTTTACAGCAGATATAAACATGTTTATAGCCTGGTACGAAAAACTTTTTTTTCTCTCTAGATCATTTCCCCTTGTGTGACAACTGTATGGGGGCTGAATTTTTATATAACTTGCCTGTTTAAATTCCCCCTCTCACCTCCCACTTTGGGGCGGTCTTGTTCCTTCCTTCAAGCTCGGGTCCTCTACCAGAAGCCTGGGAGCTTGAGGGTCCTGTGCAGTATCTTAGCTGTTCCTAGCACTGCACTCTTCTGGACAGAGATCTCAGATGTTGTTCCTGGGATCTGTTGGAGCCACTCTCCCAGTTCTTCTTCTTCTGTTTGTCCACCACTACTATGTCCGGTTGGTTGGCCATTACCAGTTTGTCAGTTTGTATCTTGAAGTCCCACAGGATCATAGCTTGGTCATTCTCAACCACCTTTGTAAATAAAGGCTGAGAAATATTTTTTTTCCACAACGATGCCTCTTGTACATCGTATTATTATCTTTTGGGAGACGCCTGTGTCATTTCCTGTCAAAAAATATTTGCTGGTTGAAAAAAAGTAACTTTAAGTCAGAATTTGCCAGGGGTATGAATAATTTTGCAATATTGCAATGTATATTTATCGTTCACTGCGAGTCCACAGTGGTTGTAACCACTCTGCCTTTCTCTGACCTTATAAAGATTTCCATCAAAGCCATTGCAAAGGTATTGAGCATTTAAGATACTTTTACTGTAAATGTCAATGACCTTTATAAATCAAGTTTTTATCCTCATGACCTTCTTAGGTTAAACCTCAGTTCCAGGAGATTCTACGACTATCTGAAGAGAATGTTGGTAAGAGCAGCTTGAACCTGCACATATACACATACATGCAGATGTGCAAATGCTGTAAGATTTTTTTTTCCAGCTCTCTCAAAACAGTGCTGGTAAGAAGAGTCCAGATGCTGTTGATGTAAACAGGCTATTTGGAGTCAATTATGGGTGTTGCCCTCTTTTTGTTTAATTCCAGAAATGTTTTTGCAGTTACAAGAGGTGCTTGGTCTCCTCAAACTGCCAAGTGATTTAGCTTTGGTATTGTGACCACTTTTGAAATTTGTTTTTGTATGGAGGCCAGCCTGTGTTTAGGGCATCTCAATCTTACACTACAGTTGTACTATATTGTATTATATTGCACAACAATATAATGTATACTGTCAACAGTTAAACTCACAGTATCAGATGTGTAGCACAGTAAGATAGTGTTTTTAATTTCCCTGATTAATTGATTTAAAAACACAGTGGTAATTAATAAATGTTCAACACAGTTGCAATTGTTTAATAGAAAAAAATGTCAAATCTTGTCCCACAGTTGTGCTTACAGGAAAATATGTATCTCTGATATCGTACAGGTGTCAGTTTCTTCACTAAAGCAGTTACATCTGTAAACCATAATGCAATGTAGCCGCAAAAGTTGTGGCTCTTTTGCAGAAAAAAAAATATATATATTTCCAAATATTTTAGTGGCTGTTAGATGCATGTTTTATTGTCTTTTAATTTAATTAATTTCCTCACTCTTGTCAGATGCTTCAGCAGGGAATGGTATTCTCACCAAAGCCACAGTCCCCATCTATGCCACCGGAGTGCTGACATGTTACAACCAGGTAACTTAATAGTCAGCACAGTAGTAGGTGACGTAAAAACACTTGTTTTGTCTTAACATCATGAATTGCTTATCTTCCAAGAGTGCAGGTTTTTTTTGTGGTAGATTTCAATACAACATGTAAACAAAACAGGTTTAGAGGAGCCCAGTTCAATTCATGTTTGAAGTGATTAAAGTTGTCTCAAATTACATAAACTGATGTGTGGAAAATTGCACACGCTTGTACATGTTAAAATGCTGATGTGAATGTTTTTGTTGCCCATGACTGAAACATTCTATCATTTACCTAAAGGAGGAGGATCGCAAGTTGTTGGTGGGTTTCCTAGAGGATGTTATGACAACCCTGTCGCTGTCTCATGCGCCTCTTGACAGCCTGAAGGCCTCTTTTGTAGAGCTTGGGTAAGACACACACACACACACACACACACACACACACACCTACTACAGGTTTAATCTGTTATGGCTTGTGACATAAAATATCCTCACTTAAAAGCATAATTTGCATTGACAAACACTTTGATCTGTACAATCAAACTGATTTGCAGTGTTCTTGTTGTCTGACAGTTTGGCAATGATTGTCAGTTGCTACAATATAGCACACTGTTTTTGTTTTGTTCTAGTGCCAACCCCGTGTACCATGAATTGCTGCTGACTGTTCTGTGGTACGGAGTGGTCCATACCTCTGCGCTGGTCCGATGTACTGCAGCACGGATGTTTGAGGTACAGAACACAAACGCACATAAGGTGTATTGAACTAAACCAAGTTTTTAGATTTTTGATTGGCCATTGTTGACACTTTTTTTTTTTTTTTTTGTTACCTTAAAGAATGATTGTATCTCTGCAATTAAGTGTATACTAGTAAAATATAACATGGCTGCACAATTATGGGTAAAATGGTAATCAGATTAATTTGATGTGTATTGTTATTATGTGTAATTCTGACTATTTCTGTATATTATTAAAACATTTTAATGTTTCAGTAGAATGATACTATATTAATGTAGTTATACACAAAAGTGCAGCCCAACGTTATAGCTACTAAGTTCACGTTTACCTATTTGCTGTACATCTGCTAGCTCCGCTTGCTATCGCTGCTGTTCAACATGCATTTAATATTTAGCTACAGTTTTATGAGTGTGAGTAAAGACTCCTGTAGCTTATCATATGGTTCCAACTACATGACTAGATCCTTTACATTTGACCTTTCACTGTGCATCGGTCTTAAAACTGACTGCATAAATGTCAAAGGAAATGTGATGTCAGCAACCTGACGTTATAGTCGACTTATGACATATTCCTTTTCAGTGTTATTGGAACGTCTCATCTAGTCAGAAATGTTTTCTTTGAATATTGTTTTACTATTTTGAGTGTTCCAGGATTTGTGGAAATATAATAGTACTTTTATTTTATAAAGGAGGAGACAGGTTCCCAGTTTTTCATTCTGATTCTGATTGTATCTATTTTTAAGTAAACAAACCAAACAACCAATGCAGAACTCCTGGCCTAAGCCATTGGAAACAGCCATAACAAATCACGTCTCCTTGTCCTTTGAGATCTGTGCACACTTATAGGTCAAACCTTTGGATGAGGATCTGGGCATAAGAGTGGAACTGTTCCTGTGTTGCTCTAAAATTGGGGGAGGAGGAGTGGTAGGCTGTACCCTTGTCCATTCCACCTTCAGCTCTACACCCCTAAATGCCCACCCACCTCCTGTTTTG